ACAAAGATCTTAGTAGATCTCAAGCACAAGAAACATGAAGGACACATAAAAACCTTTTTTAAAAGTTCCATCTGCATTTGAGTCTAACCATTACTCTCATTTCCAAAAAACAATATACTTTCATTCTTACTTGTTTTATTTCTATAGTATTCTTTATTCTTAGAATGCTGGTTATCCCTTCAAGTGCTTCAACACTTTCTAATATCTCTGAGTGCCAGGTCCTTTGTGGAGCCTAGTCATGACCATCTCTGCTCAGCCATTCCTCCATCCTACTTCCAAGTGAATATGGTCTCTTTAGTGGTCCTCTACTTATTTGTGTATAACTTTAAATAAATGTTTTCTCCTGTTGCCTATGAGCTTCTCTTACTCATCTTTAAAATACTAATAATCAGTAGGTTCCACCCACTAAGTGTTTTAGAAAAAAATGAAGAATGTAAACTCTATGAATATATCTTTGTTGTTACTATATTTTCAGCATCTAATAATACTTAATCAGTCCTCAATTATTATATTCAAAGAAGAAAGGACTTTTCATTGGTTCACATTTGTAAAATCAAATGGTGTCTATGTGCTTCCATGTGCAAAACAAAAGATCCATGAGCAATATCCTAGTGTGTATGCACCTGTGTTTACATGTATATTTGTGTGTATGTAAGTGTAGATTTGATGGTGAGAAAATATACACATAATTAATGAAATAAAAAAGATAATTTCAGATATTGAAAAGTATTATGATGACAATAAAACACATTGATTTAGGCTGGAATATTTTAAATAGGAAAATCTTTACTGAACCAGTAATGTTTGAACTGTTACTTCTGGAAAGAAGAAATGGCCATTTACATTTCTGGCTCAGTAGTTTTTCAGGAAGAGGAAACAGTAACAACAATAAGGTCAACAGTGAATGATGGATTTGAGAAAGAGAAAGAACATAAGTGTACGTGGCATATATGTACAAGGACCAAAGTCAACCTGTGAATTACTTGTTAAAATTAACACGTAAACAAGACCAAGTAACAAGTAAACCAAGTAAAACAGGTAAACCAAGTAAACAAGAAACTATCATGCATAGGCTGACTAAAAGCAAGAGGCCGAAGGAAACAGCCCCATGATTCACATTCGCCTTGAATGTCTAGAGTTTCTAATTCAATGATTGTTGAGAGTGCCCTCTTACTTTGTCCATTAAATCCCCTGACTTCAAAATTCCTCACATCAGCATTTTTATTTCCCTGGTAGTTGTGCCACCAAGACTTATTAGTAATAAAATTGTCCACAAATTGTGCAAATCATCCTATAGGTTACTGCATAGTGAAAGCTCTCTGACCCAAGGGTTTACTGGAGGGAGGCAAGTCTAACTTATGCAAATTGGAAGATGATGACTCGATTGTAATTATCACCATGGGCTAAACAGTGGAAACTATGGGTATGTTACTTGTAGTACATTTCAGTCTACCTAAACATTAGTTTTTGACTATTGTTCCTGTCTGTTAAGGCCTGACGTTTCTTTGGTTTCTGGTGTCTCTACTCTTTGGGGAAATACACTACATAATTAAGGTGGGGGTTGTAACTGATTGCCACATTTATAGGTACTTAGATTCATTCATATATCCACTTAAAATACAGCCTGTAGAATGTCAACAGTGAACTCTATTAACATATTTCTATAAACCATGCAGATCTTATTGACCAAGAAGCCATCAGGTACCCTTCTGCTTTTTATTAGTGTGGCCTGTTTATTCCTCTTTGCAGGTGAGTTTTATGGAATTCTGGAACAGACCGGTCAATGACTGAAGTTGTAACATGATTTTCTTTATGAATATAATAAAGATGGTTAATCACAGTGACTACAAATCACACTTTTAATTTAGAATGATTTTTTATTTATAAATTAGCTCCTTTAATTTTCACTAAAATGCTAGGGAAGAGATAGCTTTATCCAATTCAAAAAGCAATGTTACATGTCAAAATGAGAAGACCTGCTCAAAGTCAAACAGGCCTCTTAATCTAGGAGTCCCAGGATTAGGAGTTATGATCCCCTTAGTAAACCACAATTAACAACATACGTTTACAGACAAGTTTCATCTTTAAAAAAAAAATGTATATTGAATCAGAAATTCTCATCTTAAGTCACCTCCAACAAATTATTGTCTAAAGAGCTTCAACCGCTAGAATTTTGCTGAGATCCTCCTATTTTACAAATAGCTGTTGTTATTTTTTACTCTGGGTAGGCAAAGTGAAGAGATGACTAGATAGGTAAGTATATAGAGAAAGAGGAGAGAGAGAGAAAGACAGAGAGAGAGAGAGATTAAGATTAACTTGCATAACACATAGCTAAAAAAGGACAGACACCTTGGGTCATTTGACTCCATTGCTATTGTTGTTTCCAGCAAGTATAATGACTACTGAAAGAAAAGCCTTGGTCTATCATTTCACTCCAAGACATATGAAACACATTATCCTCCTCCTTAAATATGTGGGTGTGGTGAGCCTGCTCCAAGACAGAATTTTGACCTTACTCTCAAATGTGAAGGAGAGTAAAAATGGAAGACAATTCCACAGGTGGGAAAATTTCCATTATTATAAGAAAAATTTAATGTTTCAGTTAAGATAACTGTAGCATCTAAAAAAATTTGTCAAAAAGCCTTCTGAAATGATTTGGAAAATAAGTACATAAGGAGAGATGGAGCAATCTTACTCCATGCAACCAAGAACACCTTCAACAAATAGACAGTCTCTAAGACCTCAGAGTATGAACTTGATGAGAATTTACTTTATTACTGCCCGACCTACAAGACACTCAACAACATTTATTACTGATATTGCTATTGTGTTGTATCAGCAGTGCTAGAGTTAGAAAAAAGCATGGGCAGGACAGATGAGAGCACTGAGTGTTTAAGAGGCAATTGTTTAGGCAAAATACAAATGCATCTGTTGTGACCCATTTGTTATTTGGAAATTTACTACATTGAGTTCCATTAATGAGTATCTGCATGTGAAAAGAACTTCTATAAAATTTACCTATTTTGATAGAGATATAGTAGAACAAATATAGCAAAATGTTAACTGACTAATCTTGATGGTGTGTGTATTGATTAGCTCATTTTCATGCTGCTTATACCGATATACCTGAGACTGGGTAATTTACCAAGAAAGAGGTTTAATGGCGTCACAGTTTTATGTGGCTGGGGAGGGCTCACAATCATGGCAGAAGGCAAAAGGCATGTCTTACATGGAGGCAGATAAGAGAAGAGAGAATCAAGCAAAAGAGATTTCTCCTTATAAAACCACCAGATCTTGTGAGAATTATTCACTAAACAAGAACAGTAAGAGAGAAACTGCCTTCATGATTTAATTATCTCCCATTGGGTCCCTCCCACAACATGTGGGAATTATGAGATTCAATAAGAGATTTGGGCAGGGACATAGCCAAACCATATCAGTGGGTTTTCACTGCAGAATTCTTTAATTTTATCTGTATATTATGGCGGTTTATAATAAAATTTTTGAAAAATTAACCTGAGCTGTAAGTGTATATATATATACACACACACACACGTATATATACACATGTATGTGTTTGTATATATATAAACAATCCATCCATATATGTGTCAGTATATATATATATTTATGTGTGTAAAAAATATATATATATATCTATTTTTATGTGTGTGCGTGTTATATAAACAATCCAATTCTATCTGGTTCCATAAGTTTCCTTTGATACTCACGTGAAATCCAGTCAGTTTAGAAGATAATGATGCAGGGAGAAAAGGTTGCTTTCTTACTATAGGAAACTTAAACTTTGTCTCTTTTGATGCCATAAAATTGCTTGTTTGATTAAAAGAAACCATCTATTATTTTCAAACTTCTCCTTCTTCTAATTAGTTGAAGAGAAAATCAAACACAATCCAGAACCACTAAATCTGAAAGTCTTAGAATTGGAAGTAACTGGAAAAATGGTCTAGTTCATCTCTCCTCCCAAAGTTGAAATTTTCTTTAGAACTCTAAAATATTTATCCTGAACTTCCTTATACTATTTCTGCTCTCTGTAACTAAACAGTTCAAATGATATCTTTCTTCTCCATAGTGATGCCCTTGAGAAGATGCAGCCAATGACCGTAACACTCCTGAGCTTGTGCTTTTCTCAGCTTACATTTCCTACTGCCATAAATCTACTTCATGCTTTATGGTCTCCAGACCTCACATTATCAAAGTTATCTTTTGGACATGTTCCAATTGATTCAAGGTTCCCTTATTCAGAGAAACCAATCTTGAAGACAATATTCCAATGTCTAATAACATTGAGCTTATGACCAACTAAAACTCCCAAGGTGATTTTCCCATGAGCTGCTGTTTGACGTAATAACTTGAAGCAACAATGCCTATTGTGTAATGTTATTTCTTAAACATGAGTTCTACTGTCTCCTGTTACCTCATAAAAATGCATTACTTGTCATCATTCATCTTGATGAATACTGTATGCATTCATTACTACTAATGACAAATATTCAATGCATTTTTACTTGCTTTTAAAAGATAATTTAAGGTAAATAATTGACACATAAATCACTTGAAAGTTTCTCTTGTGGCCATATAAACGTGGAGAACAAATAATACTAACTAAAGATCAGCCATCCCTTAACAATAAAAAAGTGAACACCAAATTTACCACTTTCCCAGATGGGTTTCATCATTTTAATTTTCTTCTAGAAGGAAGATATCTAATAGACAGATGCTAAAGTTTGAATATTTATGGGAGTTGGGGCATGGATGGAGCTAATTTTGAAAATGACAGTTTATTCAAGAAGCAATACCTTCCAGTTTATGAAAATTACTCTGTAATTTATTAAAGACAGTGACAGTGTTTGCCAGTTAGGGTGAAGAATTTTTCCAGTATATAACACGGTGGTAGTGAGCATGGTTTCTTTGAAGAGCACCTACTGCAGAGTTAGGCTTGACTCCACCCAACAGCCAAGTCTGAAACAACTGGCGGTACCATGAGGGCTTTCGTTTTCTTTCTCTTCATGCTCCTGGCCATGTTCTCAGGTAAGAAAGTCACAGTCAATAGCTTTCCTTCCAAATCTCAAAGTAAAGAATTAAAAATGTTCAGTGATTTAGCAATACATTGTCAAAATATTTAAAAATAGGCAATCCATTAGACAGAGAAATGGAAGAAGGTAAATTTCCAACAAAATAAATGTAGATCTGGAGTCATAAAAACAGTGACTGAATGAAATAAGAGTGAATAGTTTGGTGTAGCTGAAGAGAAACAGACACAAGGGAATAGGAAAGGCAAGACATTAGACTGGAAAGATGAATTTAGACTAAGGGACTTATGAGTTTGTGAATGTTCAAGTTCATAATTTGTAAGGAATGGTTTTGTGATATGATCCTGGGTTGCATGTAAAATAATAATGTGTTCAAATCCTGATTCTTTTTCCCATTCATGTGATTCGAGAAAACTTGTTTAACCTACTTGAATCTCAATTTTCTCATTTGCAAAATGGAAATTATTATTCTTTCCTATAGGATTGTTTCGGGAACTATACAGATAATAGCTTTAGTTACCATTACTTGTGTTTTCTTAGGTACTTGACTCTCTTAGGTACTTTTCTCTATTCCTTACCTCAGTAAAGTTAAGTGATTTTCAGACATGTAAATTTCTAGCTTTGAGATGTAAATATCTCAAGGTAATAAACAACACAGTTAATACGTTTCTCAAGACAAAAGTTACGATAATGAAGCTGATTCTAATTTATCCCCAAATCATAAGCTCCGACTTGACCATCTTTCTTATACCTAGTGAAATGAAATAATAAAAGTAAAGTGCCTCAGATCCTCCTCTTCTTATATTTGTAACATCAAAATAGTGGTTCTCTTCTCATTGGAAAAATTGCAAAGCTGTTTCAGAGTTTTGAGTACAAGAGTGATAATATTCATCTTGTTAAGAAATATCCATCTTGTGGTAATATTAAAAATGAATTACATGTCAGAAAAGTTGTACAGTAATGCCACTGAGGATCTGCTGAAGTAACAGAGTCAAGAAAAAAAAGGAGAGTTAAGTGATAGAATTAGAGAAAAGAGGAGAGCAATAGGAGTGTGTGTGTGTGTGTGTGTGTGTGTGTGTGTGTGTGTGTTTTAAGGGGGAAAAACAGATATTCAGATAAAATTCCTTTATAGAACATATATTTCATATTTCATGGTGGCAAGTACTAGAACTGTTGTGACCTTCAGTGCCTTGCTAAGTGCTAGAAGGTATTTTGTGATGGAAGAAAGTGTATTAACTAATACCAGATTCAGTGATTATATAGATTGGAAGATGAAGAAGAGAGATGAATCAGAAAAGCAATGCTAAGCACATCCTAGAGTTTGTAAAATCAGAAGGGAAGAAATGCAAAATAAAACAAAGCTGAAGATACTTATTTTCCAAGTTTTTAGCTTAAAAAATAGATGGTGAAACCATATTATAATATCTTAATTGCCTCTTATTACTCAAAAATGTACCCCTAGTTTTTATTTCATAAATTTATTTATCTATGTAAGAAATGATGTATTATTAGGATTTTCATTGATTCATTACTTACAATAGCAAAAGAGGGAAATAAACTACCTGTTTATTACTAGAACACTGGTTAAGTAAATTATGGTAAACCCATAAAATAGGATGCTATGCAACCAGTGAGGGGAAATAAATAAACATGCTCTATATGTACTGATGTAGCAAAACCTTCATTACATTGATTGTCCTTGGAGAAAACAAGGAGAACTCTGTGTAGATTGTGCCACCAATTGTGTGGATAATTATATTCATATATGTTTGTAAATACATAGGATATCCATCAAATAATTCACAAAAACCTGTAAATGTGATGGTGTCTTAGGCACTTTATTTTTACCATTTCCTAGGAAATAGGAAATAATTATGTCCTAGGTAGGAAATTATTTTTGTGGGGGATTTGGAGTGGGGGTACAGACCAGAAAGAAAAGGAAAGTAATTTTAAACTGTTCACTCTTTGCATCTTTAGGATTTGGCTCCATTTACTTGTGTCACCTGTTAATAAAACTGAAAATCATTAATAAAAACATGTTGCCAACTTTTTTTTCCTATTTCATCCATATATCTACTTTAATTGATTTCTACTTGGTGTTAGTAACTGTTAATGAGCAATGTTTTATTCCTAGAACTGAAAGAATCCATACATGTACTCATCTCTCAGCTAAAGAAAATTATTTTTTCTCATTAATTTCTCTGATTGAATCTTACATTTCTTATGTACTCCTCCTTCGGGAAGAAGACAGGATTCCATACTCTCTGATTCCTTGCTTAGGAGACTGTTGTCTAGTTTACTCCTCACATGATAGCATTGATCATTCTACTAGAATATAGAGTCCTACTTATTTGCCCAACTACTAGACTTCTCAGCTTCATGTGGGCAGGGCCATGAATATCTTGTTCATTCCTAGCTCTTTCTAAGGTTCTTTTATAATAACGAATTCTTTAAATTTTTTGTTAAACTGAATGAATGTCTAAATTATACCCACAAACCATATCCATACTATACCACAGTTTTCTTAAGCAGGTTGCTACCTACTAAGTTTCTGTGTCTTGACTAGGACCTTAATCACCTGCAGTAGTATACCATAGCATGCTCAGGGCATACCAATTGATTATCATTTGACTTTACTTAAATTGACTTGAAGGTACAAATGTATATATTTATGGAAATGTAAAGCAGAGCAATTGAAAACTCAAGTGAGATCCTAGGTATACATCTGAAAGAATCAACATCGGAATGATTTAAAAATGCATAGATTGAAAAAACTACCAAGAAAGCCTATGCAGAAAACAAAATGTAAGCCTAATTAAAACCTTTAAGGGAACCCCACATTAGGAAAGTGAATAAAGAAAGAGGAATTATCAAGCAAGAAAGAAAGGATGAGAAAAATAACACTTCTACCAAAAAAACAAAAAAGGATGAGAAGCATAGACCTAATGCATTACTTTTATACTTAGCTCTAAAGTCATTCCATTTGTTTATTTATTGTTTTTTAGATCCTGCTCACTTTGGAATATAATCTGAAAAAACATAAAACATATACACATACACACAATTATATATATTTCATTAGGGCATAGGTGGGCTTCCCAAATAAGCTGGAGAAGCAATAAAACACAGGTTTTAAGAAATAATCGTGATATTTACCATTCTCTTAAGTAGTTTGACCAAAACAGAAAGAAGAAACATAACCACCAGAGAGAGCATCATTGATCCTAGGCCTTTTGTTGGAAATGGTGAACATAAAGCTGATTGAAAAAACATGTTCTGAAGGAGAAAGAAAACATCTGTTTGGGGATGGAAATGGAAAGAAAGATGGCTACAGATAACATGTATAGAGATGGAAGAGAGAAGAATAAAGTGGGGCTCACGTCTGCCAGCCTTTTCCTGTCTAGAAAGTTGATGGCGTCACCTTTAAAGCGAAGCTGGAAAATTAGAAATAAAGCACTTGATGTGAAAAAATAAGTTTATAGTGAGCATTGAGCAGAGCCAGTTTGATTCATCAGAAAACCACTTAAAGGAATTGGGGTAGAATGAAGGCTCAATTCAAATAATTCAGACTTTATGATTTAGAAACGGGGCAAGTTGGGTTGATCCTCTAATTTTTGAAATCCATGTCGTACAGTAAAGAAAAAAAAAAGGAGGAACTCAAATATTCAGGATATGAGGAAGAATAAGAAGATTTTGTCTTGGGGTTTGGTTAAAAAAATAAGAAAACATTAAAAACATACTGTATCTTGGACAAATGTTATTGATTTAAAATTATTTAATGTAAATAACTTTATTTTCATTTTTTCTGGTTGTGTTATTATTCCAGCATCTTCAACCCAGATTTCAAATACCACTGTTTTCAAACTAGAAGAGAATTCAGAACCTGCACTTATTCTGGAGAAAAAAAACGAAGCTAACCACCTAGGAGGACAAAGGGATTCTAATGAGCAAGGAGATAGTTATACACAAGGAAATCTGGGAACATTTAGTCTTCAAGGACAACCAGGATATTTTAACAAGCTAGAGAAACCAAGAAACTTTAAGCCAGGGAGAGCAGGCGTTTTAAACCAGCCTGAGATTTTAAAGAATTCAGGAAAATCTAACCAAAAAGGGAATCCAGAATCTTCTAATATGCAGGAAAAATCAGGATCTTCTAGCCAACTAGGGAAACCAGGGTTTTCTACCCAACAGGGAAATCCAGGGTCATCTGGCCAACAAGGGAAACCAGGGTCATTTAACCGGAAAGTGATGGTGGGGTCATCCAGCCAACAGGGGAAGCCAGGATCATCTAGCCAACAAGGGAATCTAGGGTCATCTACCCAGAAAGGGAATTTAGGATCTCCTAGCCTACAAGGGCATCTGGGTTTATCTAGCCATCAAGGGAAGCCAGAGTCATCTGGCCAGCAAGGGAAGCCAGGGTCATCTAGCCAACAGGGAAATCTAGGATCTTCTAGCCAACAAGGAAATTCAGGGTCTTCTAGCCAACAAGGAAATTCAGGGTCTTCTAGCCAACAGGGGAAGCCAGGGTCGTCTAACCAACAAGGAAATCTAGGATCTTCTGGCCAACAGGGGAAGCCAGGATCTTCTAGCCAACAGGGGAAGCCAGGGTCATCTAGCCAACAAGGAAATCTACATTTATCTAGCCAGCAAGGGAATCAAGGACCTTCTAGCAAACAGGGGAAGCCAGGGTTATCCAGACATCAAGGAAACCTACGATTATCTACCCAGCAAGGGAATATAGGATCTCCTAGCCAACAGGGAAAGCCAGAGTCTTCTAGCCAACAAGGGAATCTAGGGTCATCTAGTCATCAAGGGAAGCCAGTGTCATCTAGCCATCAAGGGAAGCCAGGGACATCTAGTCAACAAGGGAAGCCAGGGGCATCTAGCCAGCAAGGTGATCTAGGGTCATCTAGCCAGCAAGGAGATCTAGAATCTTCTAAGCATCAGGGGAAGCCAGGGTCATCTAGCCAGCAAGGAGACCTAGGATCTTCTAAGCATCAGGGGAAGCCAGGGTCATCTAGCCAGCAAGGAGACCTAGGATCTTCTAAGCATCAGGGGAAGCCAGGGTCATCTAGCCAGCAAGGAGATCTAGGATCTTCTAGGCATCAGGGGAAACCAGGGTCATCTAGCCAACAAAGAAAATTGAGGTCACTTTACAACCAACGACAAAGAAAAAATATCGACAACACTTTCGATGGCAATATAATGGACTTTCAGGTTAGTGTTAATAACTTCTTTTTCTCAGTCAACTTGACCCAGCAATTCTCTTTTCCAAAACTTAAAATGCTTTATAAACCACAATGTGTTAACGAAAAATCACTTGCAATGACACTGATTAAACAAAATGAGAACAACTTTGGAGCTGATTATTTTCATGCATAACACTTACGATTATTAATGAATGTACTGCCCTTCTATTCTATCTTTCATTTCCCTCTATTATTTTCCACTCAAACCTCTCTACCTATACTAGAAAAACTCAGATCCTCATCAACTGAGCCCACAACTTTGCCAAGTTTAGTTTTCATGTCCATTTTTATCCCATCCATAATCTACAAATCACTGAAGTAATATTCTTAAATCAAAAATCCTCTCTGATATTTTAGACCCCAATTGAAATTCCTCAGTGGCTTCATACTACCTAGAAGATATAACTTAAACTCCTAAACATAGAATTTACAGATTTTCATGATTATACTGCATCCTGTTTAGCCTCATTTCATGTCACTGTTGCTCACACACCACCCATGTCATACAGAGCCCTTTGATTTTCCACTCCTGTATTCCCAATACTAATGATTTCTTCTATTATTAAACACATCTTATTGCTTTGTAATTTAGTGTCTATTTATTCAGCTAGATAATGAACTTCTTGAAGAAAGTACCATTTATTTTCAAACCTGTATCCCCAGAACCTAGAATAAGTGTGGCATATAGTAAATTCTCCTGAACTGTATGTGAAATGGATAGATAAATGCCTGCTAGTTGGAAGCCACCATTTCGAATAGGTGAACAGCTATCTGACACACATGTCTCCTGTATTCCCTTCTGAGTCCTGCTGCGCTTTTACTTTCACTTGCCTGCTTCTCTTCCAACAATCAGCCTCCTAATTTATTTAACAATTGCTTTGAATACTCCATTTGATACTCACATTCAAAACCGTTTTCTGGAACACTTTCTCTAACTTATCATCTTGATGGAAATTTTATTTTTTTACCTCATAAATTTTCATCCCTCACAAGCCTTCCAGACGAAAGTCATTTGTTCTCTTAGTTATTATCACTTGGCTGGCATGAAGTAGCAATCTCTCAGAGAGACTCCCTACCATTTAGATCTTAATGCCATCACCAGCAGGTCTCTGAGTTTTTAGGATGTCACTTAAAATTTTGTAATTTTATATTTATTCTAGAATAAGAGAAATAACCATGTCCAGTTAACAGAGTAAGTGTGAAATAAATTGATCTTCATGAAAGGGTTGTATGATTTGGAAAATATGGAGGTATTTTTTTATCTCCTTATAACATCTCAGCTCTGAGAATACCACATCCTCTAGCAAAAATGTCTCATTATTCTCATTAATGTCTCTGTTCTCACCTGCTAGTCAGAGCTTCCTTATATTCACAGGCTTCTGCCGTTTAGCTCACATCCAGAGAAAATGTATCAGGAATTATTTAAATGAATCCTGCATAATCCTACTTCCTGCATATTTTTTTTTCATGGATATACCAAAAAAAGGGAATCAACAAGTTATGACTGTATGTGTTTTGCATTTGCTTGTATGACTTTTCCCTGACTGTTGTTTTTCCATGTAGAGGAAGAATTGCCTCCAGAAAATTAAAATAGAGGCAGTCTGACATATAGTAAGAGCAGACAACTTGGAGTAGATAACAGAGTTTGAATCACATCTTGGACATTTAATCTACCCATAATGTTAAGCTTGTCACTTAAATCCATTATGCCTTTGTGCGTGCAGGTATAAAATAGGACAAAATATACTCTTTTAAATTTTTTGTAATTTTTTAATGTTTTGAAGGTACATGGTAGGTATATATATTTATGGGTTACACAAGGTATTTCGATACAGCCATGCAATGTGTAATAATCACATCAAGGTAAATGGGGTATTCATCTTCTCAAGCATTTATCCTGTGTTACAATCCAACTATACTCTTTTAGTTATTTTAAAATGTCCAATTCAATTACTTTTGACTAGAATCACCCTGTAGTGCTAGTGAATGCTAGGTCTTATTCATTCTATATTTTATACTTATTAACCATCTTCACTTCCCCTCCTCTCCCAGCTACACTTCCCAGCTTCTAGTAAACATCCTTCTACTGTCTATCTCCATGAGTTCAATTGAAAAAAATAGCTCCCACAGATAAGTGAGAACATGTGAAGTTTGTCTTTCTGTGTTTGGCTTGTTTCACTTAACATAATAGCCTCCAGGTCCACCCATGTTATGCTAATGACAGGATCTCATTCTTTTTTATGACTGAGTAGTACTCCACTGTGTATATGTATCACATTTTCTTTAGGCATTCATTTCTTGATGGAAACTTAAGTTGCTTCCAAATATTGGCTATTGTGAATAGTGCTACCATAAACATGGGAGTGGAGATATCTCTTAAATATACTGACTTCCTTTCTTTTGGATATATGCCTAGGAGTGGGATTACTAGATCATAAGTTACCTCTATTTTTAATTTTTGAGGAATCTCCAAGCTATTCTCCGTGTTTATATTAATTTACATTCTTACCAACAGTGTACAAGGATTCACTTTCCTCCACATTCTCGCCAGAATTTTTTACTGCTTGACTTTTGAAAAAGAGCCATTTTAACTGGGAAGAGAAGATGTATCATTGTAGTTTGTATTTGCATTTCTTTGATAATTAATGATGCTTAGCACCTTTACGTATACTTGTATTTATACTTTTGAAAAATATCTACTTACATTTATTCTTTGGAAAAATATCTATACAGATTTTTTTTGCCCATTTTTTAATTGAGTTACTAGATTTTTTACTATAGATTTTTTTAGCTCCTTACAATATTCTGGTTATTAAGCCCTTACCAGGTGAGTAGTTTGCAAATATTTTCTTGCATTCTGTGGGTGTCTTTTCACTTCATTGATTGTTTCCTTTGCTGTGCAGAAGTTTCTCAGCCTGTTGTGGTCCATTGGTCCATTTTTGCTATGGTTGTCTGTGTTAGGCATTACTCAAGAAATCGTTGCCAGTCCAATGCCCAAGAGAGTTTCACCAAAGTTTTCTTGTAGTAGTTTCATAGTTCGAGGTCTTAGATTTAAGTCTTTAATCCATTTTTAGTTGATTTTGGTATATGGTGAGAGATAGGATTGTAGTTTCATTTTTCTGTATATAGATATCCAGTTTTCCCAGCATCGTTTATTGAAGACTGTCCTTTTCCCAGTGTATGTTCTTGGCACCTTTGCCAAAAATGGGTTCACTGTGGACATATGGATTTATCTCTGGGTTCTCTATTGTGTTCCACTGATTTATGTATCTGCTTTTATACCAGTACCATGCCATTTTGGTTACTATAGCTCTATAGCATAATTTGAACTCAGGTAATGCGATTCCCCAAGTTCTCTTTTTTGTTTCGTTTTCTTTTGCTTATGATAGCTTTGGTTATTCTGGGTATTTTTTGTTTCCATATAAATTTTAGCATTGTTTTTTCTATCTCTGTGAAGAATGTCATTGAGATTTTGATAGGGATTGCACTGAATCTATAGATTGTTTTGGGTAGTATAGGCATTTTAACAACATTGATTCTTCCAATCCATGAACATAAAATACCTTTCCATTTTTTAGTGTCTGCTTTAATTTCTGCACCAATGTTTTATAGTTTTTATTGTAGAGATCTTTCACTTCGTTGGCTAAGTTAATACCTATGTATTTAATTTAATTTGTAACTAAGGTCAATTGAATTACTTTCTTGATTTCTTTTTCAGATTGTTCACTATTGGCATGTAAAATCCTACTGATTTTTCTGTGTTGATTTCCTTTCCTGCAACTTTACTGAATTTGTTTATCAGTTCAAATAGTTTTTTTGGTGGAATCTTTAGGTTTTCCAAATATAAGATCAGATTATCTGCAAACAAGGATAATTTGGCTTCTTTCTTTCCAATTTGGATGCCCTTTATGTCTCTCTTGTCTGATTGCTCCAGGAGGACTTACAGTACTGTGTTGAATAAAAGTTGTGAAAGTGTGCATCCTTGTTGTGTTCCCAATCTTGGAGGAAAGGGTTTTGGTTTTTCCTCATTTAGTTTAATACTAGCTGTGAGTCTGTTGTATACCGCCTTTATTTTGTTGCGGTATAATCTTTCTATATCCAGATTTCTAAGGCTTTTTATCATAAAGGGATGTTGAATTTTATCAAATGCTTTTTCAGCATTAATTGAAATGATCATATAGTTTTTGTTCTTTATTTTGTTAACATGACATATCACACTAATTAATTTGTGTATGTTGAAGCATCCTTGCACCCTTAGGATAAATCCCAGTTGGTCATGATGAATGATCTTTCTAATGTGTTGTTGAATTTGGTTTGCTAGTATTTTGTTGAGAATTTTTGCATCAATATTTATCAGATCCATTGGGCTATTGTTTTCTTTTTCTTTTTTAAAAAAATTTATTTATTATTATTATACTTTAAGTTGTAGGGTACATGTGCATAATGTGCAGGTTTGTTACATATGTATACTTGTGCCATGTTGGTGTGCTGCACCCATCAACTCGTCATTTACATCAGGTATAACTCCCAATGCAATCCCTCCCCCCTCCCCCCTCCCCATGATAGGCCCCGGTGTGTGATGTTCCCCTTCCCGAGTCCAAGTGATCTCATTGTTCAGTTCCCACCTATGAGTGAGAACATGCGGTGTTTGGTTTTCTGTTCTTGTGATAGTTTGCTAAGAATGATGGTTTCCAGCTGCATCCATGTCCCTACAAAGGACACAAACTCATCCTTTTTTATGGCTGCATAGTATTCCATGGTGTATATGTGCCACATTTTCTTAATCCAATCTGTCACTGATGGACATTTGGGTTGATTCCAAGTCTTTGCTATTGTGAATAGTGCCGCAATAAACATACGTGTGCATGTGTCTTTATAGCAGCATAATTTATAATCCTTTGGGTATATACCCAGTAATGGGATGGCTGGGTCATATAATCTTTGTATATACCTGTAGTAATGGGATGTACAACATGGTACATCTAGTCACTTTGTCTGGTTTGGCATCAAGATAATACTGGCCTCATAGGATTGGAAGTATTCCTCTTCTCTCTATTTCTTTTTTCAGAATAGTTTGAGTAGAAATGATATTAGATCATCATTAATTGTTTGATAGAAAATAAGCAGAAGCCA